TGGGGAAGGGCAACGTGTAGGGAAGTTATGTGTAGGTTTCACAATCTCACCGCGCGGCCTAAGATTCCTGAGTCCTATGTTCCTAGGTACTTAGAGTTCAAGCCTAACGTCCTAAAGTCCGGTCTTAAGAGTCTTTTCCTAGGGTCAAACTTAAGCTCTGATACCAATTGTAACACCCCGAAATTTTTAAACTTTTGAAGCTTATATAATAAAGGTAAATTCTCATTAAATCCCAAAACATAATATAAAGAGTACGGGGTGCTATGCCACACCTGGGCTAGCGAACCCAGGTGCACAGGCTGTCTAACTAATATCCATTGAAACATAATGCATAATATGGCACGCAGGCCGAAAGGGAAACTACTCTACTTCTACGCTCCAGTTCTAGCGCGCTCCAGTGCTCTAGTCCTCTGTGCCTGAAAGCCAAATATATCTGTTCAGCGAGAGATGTTGGTAACCCACTTCAACGCGTTGAAATACAATACATATAGAGATATATATAGATATATGAAAATCATTTTGAGCATGAAGATATATCCTACGAACTCTAGCTTTAAAACCGGGAATGACTCGACAGATAAGGTCAGACACAAGCAACAGTTATGACGAGCATATGTAGTTCACAACAGATAAGGCAGATAAGGCAAAGCATAAACAATGATCATAACCCAACATGAACAATCCCCAATATAAATCCCGTAGTCACATCCCCAAGACACTCATGATCACCAATCATCCATATCTCAACACATAGCACACTTTGTTGGCGCCACAGGACCAATCGCATGCCCATACATGAGGGTCAGCGCATATAGCTCTGACACGGCCCCGCAGCACCCTGCCCCGTATCGCAACACGGAGGGGTCGATCGCAACCGACCGATGAACCGCAGCTCATCATAGAGTTTGATCGCAACCAAACAGTGGACCGCAGCCCAAGAGAATGTCATCTGACCGCAGCCAGGAAAAAGGACGAACCGCAGCTCGTATAGAAACGTTTGATCGCAACCAAACGGTGGACCGCAGCCCAAGAGTATCAATCTGACCGCAGCCAGCTTCTGAACCGCAGCTCAGGATAACCAATCCGATCGCAACCGAATTGGGGTAACACACACATAACACATTGCAAGCACATGCAACCCACATTACACATTAGGAAGGGGGAGAAAACGTATAACAAAACCTATGCGTGATCCATCACTTACTAAGAATAGTCCTAAGGGGTTCATACTTCTTCCACCTAGGTCAACGGGATACCAATTCAACTAGCATGCAATATAATAGACTCATAAACCTACAAACGGTACCCGAAACATCAAACTAGACATAGGCACGATAAACGGAGTCCGATGGGACACCACGGGTATCGAGGGAACATCAAACGGGGAAGCCGAACTCCCGAGTGGGGGAATTTTCCAGCGGGTAGCCGGTGGGTGGGGGGCCACCCGCCGGCTGCCCGCCGGACATACTGTTCCGGGCAGCGGGTCGCCGGCGGGCAGCTGCCCGCTGCCGGAAGTGAAATCTCGGCCGTGGGTAGGTGGCGGGTCCCCTACCCCCCACTGACTCTTTTCACACCAAAAACGTCCCGGGAACCATTGTGGAACCCGAAACCATGCTTAGACACTTTACAACGCAATTAACGACAACACGTAGACAATTAACGAATCAAATACAAGAAACGAACGGCACATAACCTATCATGCTTTTCTAAATGTAATCAACACCCAAACATGCGATTTCCCCACCCGATAATCCAAGAATAAGATCATACGATACAACCTAGGGTTCTAATCACTTTTATATCAACAAGTATACGGTTCGTCTTCTAATTGCAAGGTTCGGTAAGAATAACACATAAACATCAAGAGCATCACATAATTATCAAGAACAACACATAATCATCAAGAACTCCATATAATTACCAAGAACACCATAATTATCAAGAATCTCCCAATATCAAGATTATCAAGATTCCTCATGGAATCATTATATCAATCATTAATAATAATCATCACCAATCATTAATACACAATAATATGGGGAAACCCTAAGGGGGAATCATAACTATGAAAATAGGTTTTGTTGAGACATGGGTTACCTCTTAGCCTTAATTAATTCCTTGGCTATGAAGGATCTTTCTTTAAGCTTCCTTGCTTTCTTGATTTCTCCTAAGGGGATTCTTGGAGCTCTTTTGGGGTGGTAGGGCGTTATTTGTGGGAAGTTCTAGGTGTCTCCTAAGTCCCCTATTTATATATTTAGGAGTCCTAATTAGGAACTAATATTGTAGGCTCGCTAATTCTATTCCTTTTGGAACTAAGGATTGGGTTTAAGGGTTGGGTTTATATATGAGGGCCCATGGACTATGGTGGGCCTTTTTCCTTAATTAGTTATAATTTATTCTTTCTTTTGGGCTATTAATTAATTAATTAAATGGTTTTAGGGGCCGTAACACGGGGTGTTACACTTTCCCCATCTTCTTCCAGCCTAATGATGGTGGCATTTGGTAGCTTGCTAGCTTCTTGCATATGATGTTTTAGATGTTTAGCCCTTTTCTCAACTTCCTCGATCTTTCCTTTCCCTTTGTCCATTCCTGCAATCTTTTTCCTTTTCTAAGGACTTGTGAATGAGTAAAGCTCATGAAATATGAAAGTAATTTATAGACAAAAGATATCGTGCGAATCTTAACAAAATCTTTTAGATACTGACATCATTTTGAAAAGATAACGAAAGATAATGTCATAAATTAAAAGATCATGAACATGATAACATCACAACTTATCACCGTGGCCTAACAAAGTTATTTAGGCATTCCTTTTCTTGCTGCTTGCAGTGGACTTGAGAGGGGATGCTATCTTAGTAGGAGTGTTTGAGGGTGAGTAGTCAAAACTATCACTTAGTTCCAGCACACTGTCTTCCTTGACATATCCAATAGGGTTGCCAACAGAGTGAAATGATTCTCTTGACTCATTTTTGGTTGTGTCACGGAGAAGACTTTGTATGTGCTGTGAATGTTCAAGAAATTGATTGAACTCTTGCTCGGTTACTAGTGGCTTATTGAGAATCTCGCTCTTTCCCTCTTGTGCCTCCATAATGGTTCTTTCACTTCCCGTACTCATACCTGCATATGCAAAAACAAACACTAGAATTTTTGTTAGATATGAATTCTTAACCTCGTAGTGTACCTTATTTATAAAGATCCTTGCGTGTGAGGATGGATCAAATCTTTTGATTATCGAGAGCAAGAATCTTTGCAGATTTGATTCTCTTGGCTTTATGTCATTTCAATCATTCCGAGTTCATACCTTAGAGAGGAGAATCTTGCTTCACTCAAGGGTTTTGTGAGTATATCTGCAAGTTGGTCATCAGTGTTAACATACTCAAGAGATATGTCTTTCTTCTCGACATGATCACGAATGAAGTGATATTTGATGTCAATATGCTTAGTCCGAGAGTGTAAGACAGGATTATGTGTAATGGCAATTGCACTAGTGTTATCGCACTTAATGCTCACTCCTCGTGCATTTATACCATAATCCCTCAATTGATGTCTCATCCACAAAATTTGAGCACAACAGCTTCCAGCTGCTATGTATTCGGCTTCAGCCGTACTTGTAGCAATAGAGTGTTGCTTCTTGCTAAACCACGAAACAATTCTTCCTCCTAGGAACTGGCAGGTTCCTGAGGTACTTTTTCGATCAATTCGACACCCTGCGAAATCAGCATCTGAGTATCCAACTAGATCAAATGATCCTTCTTTCGGATACCAGAGACCGACACTTTGCGTTCCTTTAAGATATCTCAGTATCTTTTTAGTTGCACCAAGGTGACTTTCTTTCGGCTTGGCTCGAAATCGTGCACATACACCAACAGCAAACGAAATGTCAGGTCTGCTTGCTGTTAGGTATAAAAGAGAACCAATAATGCCTCGAAAGTTTGTTTGATCAACCACTACAAGAAAAACCATTTTTAGTGACGAAAAATTAGTGACGGGTAGAAAAACCCCTCACTAAATGTAGTATTTACATAGTTTTTGTGAGGGTAAAAAATTACTCTAACTAAAAGTTTATGATTTGGTGACAAAATTTTAAATATATATTTAATTTAAAAATATACTCTCACTATTGATACAAAAACTATTGTTACTCTCACTATTGATGTATTTGAAAATTATTTCATTGAAATTTAATTCCCACCAAAATTTTGGGCGCCCCAAGTGTGTAGCTGGCTCCCTCATTATATGTTTTTTTTTTTAAAACGAATTAAAGCATCTAATCTCCTCAATCGCTATGATCAACACCGTCAAAATCAATGACTACAAAAAATTCAATGAAATATAAATATATAGAGCCCTAAATCATCAACTCCAGTGTATTTGAAAAGAATCTCAGGTAGATCAGAGAATTTAGAACAGCAAAGCGGCAGTGACGAACGCCAAACCAGCAGATTCGACGAGAGCGACTCTGTTCAAAGCGGCGGCGTTGAGAGGGGAAGAAGGAGCATCGCCTCCGGGAGCCTGTGCGACGGATAGAGGATTAGCGATGGTGGAGGCGGCAGGAGTGCTGGTGGGAGGAGCCGGTGGAGAAGAGAGTGGTGACTCAGAGGGAGCGGCGGCAGATGGAGTCTGAGGCGGAGAGGACGCTGGAGAAGAACGTGGTGCCGGCACTGCCTGCGGCGGAGACGCGACCGGAGATGGAGATCTCTTCGGTGAAGCAGCTGGTGCGACTCCTGGTGCCTGAGCAAAGGCAGATCCAGCCATCAAGGCCACCATCATAACAGCAACAATTCTCAAGTAAGCCATTTTTCCACTCAAACGATAATTCAAGTTCAACAAACTTTGCTTCTGTTTGCAGAGAAATTGAAATTGTATGTATAGGCACAGAGAAATATTTTTGAATGAAGAGATGAGTGAATCCATTATATGTTGATTTGCTGCTTGTGTGGACGATGGAAATTTTGGTTTACTTTGCCTTGTTTTAGTAATCATTTATGAAATTATGAAGACTTTTTATTCTAAATTTGTAGCTACTGTTTGTGATTTGTTTTGTTTGTTTATTTTACAGATTGTTATTTCTCTATTTTTGGGTAAACATTTCAATAGCTTTTGATGATTATGGTTTTGTGATCATGTGATTGAATGTATTGTGTGAACAAGGAAACTAGAAAGAAAAAAGAAATACTTGCTTCGACACCTGCGGCAAGGACTTCAACAGCAGGTCAGTCATTTTTTTTTCTTTTTTCCCGTTCATAATGATGGGTTTCCTATTCATTGCTTGCATTATCTCGTGAATTTTAAGCTAGAAGTGATAGCTTAGCTTGCTTTATGGGTTAGGCATGCATTTGCGGTGGCTGTGAGATAATAAACAGTACAGTAATGGCGGATGGATGGGAAAGAGAAAGCCAAAAAGGGGTTTGGATTGTTGTTAGTTGGGCACAAGCTTTGGGTAACTCTTCACTAGCTGATCATACTGATTGTCAACCATAAATTTTTAATAGTAGTGATTTGAGATTATGCATAAAGAGTTTTTGTCATGCTACTTTGATCTTTTTTATGGACAATGGATAAATAATGTAGGCAGTTTACATAGAGGCAATTGCAATGGTGGAAGAGTATTAGCATTCAGCAAGCTCTTTCTGTAGATGGTGGCGTTCGAGATGTTAAGGCTCATTACCCTCAGCTCAGTTTGAAAAACCTTCCTCAGGTTCTTTACTTTTGCACTGTGTATACTAAAACAATAATAGTCAATATAAAAATTGCTATAATGTTACAGTCTTGTAAAATCTCATCCCTTTTGTGAACCATTTACCTTTTCAATTTAGAAAGATAATTAGAAGATGTATTTTGCTGAAAGTATCACTCTTAAAACTATACTTTGTAGCATTTTCCATATTTAGAGTGATAGAAATATGCATAAGTTTAATTTGTGGGATAAACTGTGAACGAACACTCATTCTTGTGTTTTTTTGTGGTGCCGTATAGGATTAGATTTTCCAGTACATATGGAGATTTGTGTACTCCATGTTTTCCCTTTTTAAATTTTCCAGTAATTTGTACCATGGAAAACTTGTGGGAGAGAGTTTCTTGGGAAAGAAAAGGCTAGTTTATGAGTGTAGCGGTGTGCAGGTATTCTCTCCTAACCTTTCTACCCGAGTCATGAACGCCACCCCTGTTTTTTTCCCCTTTGTTCATAAGGCTGTTAACTGTTGACCATTTCTCTGAGTTTGTCTTATGACATCAATGGGGTTTGCATCCCACCACTCACCTGGTTATCATTGTTATCAAAACGTTATTGATTATTTCAGAATTTTTTTTGAAAGCAAAATATTGCAGAAACTGGAGGCCAAGAGCTGTTAAAGAATTGTTTGCTTAATCTTTTCTTGCGTTTTAGGTCAACGGCATGAGCCTTTGATGTATAATGTTGTTAGGAACCAGATTGAGACGGAGTTCCCGGTGGTGGGACTGGATTGATGAGGTATATATGCTTTTTATTTTGTGGTTTCATTATTAACTATGGATTAGATTAAATTATTGCGTATTCTTTGTTCTATACTCATGAATTGGTACACATTTAAAATTTAATTAGATTGTGATAAAGATTTTGATTTTTGTTGTTCAATATTGCTCACCAAGACATGCATACACTATATTTCTGTAGTTTCAAGAATTTTGAGCATATAACTGTATACTATTCTATTCTTAATTCTATACAACAAAATAATTTTAAGTGTATATTGAGGAGGCATGATGGTATGACTCAGGTCTTTATGTTTAATATAGGTATCATTGCTCTTGAAGGACAGTTTCATCGAATCAACATTTTATGAAGGTATGTTTCTAATGCTCAATGTTATATATTAACGGTTCTTTTTCTCTGTCTTGTGAACTAAGATCATGGACCATTCAATTTATATTTGACTTTGTTTCCCAGGATATGTGTATAATGTCACTAAACTATTGAAATAATAAAAAAGAATAGGGCGATGTACACACATAATAGTTCTATTGCAATCTGTATTATCATTATGTGATTATTATTAATCTTAACGTAAAATTTTTGTTTAATCATATGCCATAGTAGATGTCACCCTTTTGTTTTCTCCTTGCTCTGTTACAAATATTGATAGATCATTTGATGAAATTCTAAGCTTGGAAATTGTATGTCTTTAAGATTATACTAAAACATTTTGGGGTTTTATTGGCAGTCAAGAGACAGAGGCCTGTGATTCCAAAGCAGGAAGTGAGATGATAAGCAGGAGTTACCACTGATCTTGCATGAGTTGAGCAAAATTAGTTCAAATACAAAAGACTTCTGGCAAAATAGCTAGCCAACAGATACATTAGTATGGCTATTTGTTATAATTAATTTCTTTGTCTTTAGTCTTTACAAAGTTGTATGAAACATTTTATTTTGGTATTAATGATGAAGTTTTTTAATATATTGATCGAGTTTACTTTAAATGCATTATATATCAATATAATATTTATAGTTATAACGTAACATAATATCGATTAGTGAGAAAAAGAAATGTATTACAAAAATGAATATTTAATGAGAAGTAACAATATATATACAAATTAAAAATAATACTATTTGTTAGTAAATAGTAGTATTAATGACGGTATTTTCTATCGTTATAAGAATATAATGAGAGGAAATTATGCTAGTGAGTAGTTGTATTAGTGACGGGATTTTTTGTCGTAAAAAGAACGTTTTAGTGACGGTAAACACACTATCACTAAATTGCTTATTAATGAGGGTATCATATCCCGTCACTATTTGTTTTTATCTACGGAAGAAATAACGACGGGTGGTGACGGTAAATTTCCCGTCATTAAAAGCCTTTTATGATGGTTTTTGGATTTTTAGTGACGGTTTTACCTCTCATTAATGGACAATTTTCTTGTAGTGAACATCTTTTCCTTCATTATCAACATCCATTCTGAGGGATGTGCTCATTGGAATTTTGACCGAACTTTTTCCATCAATGCCAAATTTTCGGATTAAATCCTTGGTATATTTGGCTTGATTTATGAATGTTCCATCTAGGCATTGTTTGACTTGCAAACCCAGAAAATAGTTTAGTTCACCCATCATACTCATCTCAAATTTGCCTTTCATAAGATTGGAGAACTTTTCACACAAGATTGGATTCGTGCTTCCGAAGATAATGTCATCAACGTAGATTTGAACTAAAAGAATATGGTCATTATCTTTTATACGAAAGAGTGTTTTATCAACCACTCCTTTCGTGAAGCCACTGTTGATAAGAAAGTATGAAAGAGTATCATACCAGGCTCGTGGAGCTTGCTTTAAGCCATAGAGAGCCTTTTTGAGATGATAGACCTTTTCAAGCTCATTATTGATTGCAAAGCCAGGTGGTTGTTCAACATAAACTTCTTTTTCAAGAAGTCCATTTAAGAAAGCACTCTTGACATCCATTTGATAGACTTTGAAATTCTTATAGGCTGCAAAAGCTAGGAATATGCGAATAGCTTCCAATCTAGCTACAGGGGCGAAGGTTTCATCAAAATCAATGCCTTCTTCTTGGCAATATCCCTTAGCAACAACACGAGCTTTGTTCCTAACAATGAGCCCATCTTCACTCATTTTGTTTCTAAACACCCATTTAGTTCCAATGACATTCTGATGAGATGGTCTCGGAACAAGTTCCCATACCTCATTTCGTTCAAATTGATGAAGCTCTTCTTGCATGGCTATTACCCAGTCAGGGTCTTTTAGGGCTTCTTCTATGGTTTTTGGTTCCATTTGTGACAAGAAGCATGTCATCATACTTTCGTGTAGAGAGGCTCTTGTTCTTACACCTTCTTGGACATTTCCAATAACCTGATCTAATGGATGATCTCTTAACCATTGAAGGTCTGGTTCAAAAGCATCTTGTTGATTTTGAGCATCCATTTCAGGAATATATGGTAGATCAATGTATATCATTGGTTCAGATGTTGTGGTACTTGTAGGATAATTCTGTTGAATTCCAACCTTTTCTTGAGACACAGGTTCGGGTTCTGAAACCTTTAGCTGATATTTCGTGTAGGACAAAAGTATGTCTTCTTCGTCTGAGATATCTTCGTCAACAGGTTGCTGAGGATTTTGACTTGACTTGATTGATGTTTTACATCCAGATGGATTCTTCTCAGATTGTTCATCAAACTTGACATGAATGGATTCCTCAATTACCATTGTTCGTTTGTTTAGAACTCTGAATGCTTTGCTTACTGAGGAGTATCCCATGAATAGCCCTTCATCAGCTCTTTCGTCAAAAGCTCTTAGATGATTCTTTCTGTTGTTATGTATGAAGCACCTGCAACCAAAGACATGAAAATAACCGATACTATGAGTTTTACCTTTCCATAGCTCATACGGTGTCTTGTTGTGAGATTTGTTGATCAAGGATCTATTTTGTGTATAGCATGCCGTGTTTATGGCTTCGGCCCAAAATCTCTTAGGTAGTCCTGAGTGCGAGATCATCGTTCGTGCAGCTTCTTTCAAGGTTCTGTTTCTCCTTTCGGCCACTCCGTTTTGCTGAGGAGTTCGTGCTGCCGAGAGTTGATGAAAAATTCCATTTTGCGCACAGAATTCCTTTCTGACTTTGTTGACAAATTCCGTTCCCTGATCTGATCTTATTCGAATTATTTTGACCTCCTTTTCTGTTTGAAGTTGTCTCAAAAGATTTGGAAGAGCTGTTTCTGTTTCATTCTTCTTTTTCTAGAAAAGCACCCATGTATATCTTGTGTAGTCATCTACTATAACAAGAGTATACTTTCTTCCACTCAAACTTGCTAGATCTACTGGTCCGAAGAGATCCATATGTAGAAGACTTAGAGATCGAGAATTTGCATCTACATCTTTTGATTTGAAAGATGACTTGAATTGCTTCCCTTTTTTACATGCCTCACATATTTTATCTTTTGTGTAAGATACTTCAGGTAGCCCTCTTACGAGATTTCTTTTGGCAAGCTTGTTTATCGTCTTCAAGTTCAGATGACTTTGTTTGTTGTGCCATTCTTGATTGAGATCTGCATTACTTTTAGCTACAAGACAAACGTTAGCATTAGAAGAATTTAAAGATAATACATACATATTCTTCTTTCGTTGAGCCGTTAAAGCTGTCTTGTTATCCTTCGTGTTCACGATTTTGCATTCGTCTTTGAAGAATTCTACTTTGTATCCTTTGTCACAAAATTGACTTGTGCTTAGGAGATTGAACTTCAGTCCTTCAACATAAGAGACATCTTGTATTGTTATTCCCTTTTTGATGATGTCCCCTTTTCCACGAGTTTTGCCGCTGTTTTCTCCTCCAAAGATAACTTTGGGTCCATCTACTTCCTTAAAGTTGCTCAACATTGTTTTATCACCAGTCATATGTCTTGAGCATCCACTATCAATATACCATATGACCTGTTTTTCCTGCATCAAAGATTATGTGTTTTTAGGTATGTGTTTTTAGGTACCCATTTAGTTTCGGGTCCTTGGGGGTTAGCAGTCAACTTTGGAACCCACATCAACCTAGAGTATCCACGACTCATCCTCGGTCCTCTATATCCATTAGATGTACGATAATCATAGTGAATGCTGGCAAAGACTTTAGCATTATATTTCTTACGTTGATCTTCCTGAGGAAGATTTTCATAATGCTTGAGATGATTGGTTTGTTTACGCAGATGAACCTTTTCAAATACTGCTCTAGAGAGAGGTTCTGGGTAATCAAACCAATCTTCTTCTGATGGCCCAGTCCATCCATTGCCATAACCAGATCTTTTGAAGAATCTTTCGGGTTGTCTGATTTGTCTGTTTCTTGAGATTCCTTGAGCAAGATTCTTTCGTGTGAATTTCGGACGATATT